ATGACTGTTGTCTTAGGACAAACATTCTGTTGAATCAGAGATGGACTGCAAGAGTAAAGAAAAAGAGACTAGTTAAAAGGCTTTACAAAAAGTCTAGGTGAGAAATTATTGCAGGTAAGATTAGAAGAATTCCAGCAAAGATGATAAGCAACTGGATTCAAATATGTTTTGATTGCAGAGTCAGTAGAGCATGAAAGGATTGGAGTTTAGGAATGGAGGACCCAAGGTGCATGCAAAATCTACAATGCAGCCATTAACACAGAGTTAGGTGAATATTTGGGGGCTCAATTGAAAACAGTGGTGAAAAGAGGAAGCAAATTACATAATCAGAGGAAAGTGACTTCAGAATAGAATGCACTGGGAATAATGGTGGCAGAGCAAAGATCTACCTTTCCTCTCTGACCCTATGAGTAAATGGAAAGGCAAGAAAATGTCCATTTAAGTGGTTTCAGAGAAAGTGGCATCATCAAGGTAAAACAGGTGTCAGATTGCATCTCAGCCTTTTGGTGTCAGACAAGATGAGGTGGAAAAAAGTCTGCTAAAGAGAAGGTTAGGACTATAAATGGATTTGTTCACAATCAAATGTTACTGAAGGAATACAGGGACTGCAGCTATGAACGAGGCTGTAGGATGACAATGCCAGAGGAAAAAGCTCTAGAGGTGCCCTGATCCTGGCACTTTAGTAAAGCTATCAGGGTGAGAGGCTGAAGGCACATGTTACTGATAAGGGCTGACAATGTCTAGTATACAAACCTGATTTAAAGGTCAAGTTATATAACTTACCATGTTTAGGTTCCAGCTAGAATGTCAGCATGACAGGAGGCACAACCTGTGTGAATGGCAGGCATAAGCAGGGCCTCCCCCTCCAATTCGCATTTTTTTTTTTTTTTTTTTTTTTTTTTTTGAGTTGGAGTCTCACTCTGTCGCCCAGACTGGAGTGCAGTGGCCGCTCCCGGCCACCGCAGCCTCGGCCTGCTGGGCTCCGGCGATCCTTCCGCCTCAGCCTTCCGAGTAGCCGGAATTACAGGCGCGTGCTACCACGCCCGGCTGATTTTTTGATTTATTGTAGAGATGAGGTCTCGCTGCCCAGGCGGGTCTCGAACCCGCGGGCTCAGGCAATTCACTCACCTCAGCCTCCCAAAGGCGCGGGATTACAGGCTGAGCCACCGAGCCCGGCCTCCAATTTGCATTTTAACTTGGTAAGTCTTTTCAAATTTATGCATTTACTGTTGAGTAGAGTAATTGTGACATCAGAAGAAAATCCTCCAATCATAGTTTCTGCTTTCCTTTCAAAATTTTTCTCATTTTTATTAGTTGCTCACCTTTTCCCAGTGTCTCTGCTTCTCTCTGTCTCATTTCTCATCTGTTATACAGACTTTGGTACATTGTTTATGTACTAACATTCTAACATCTCATTTTTTGTTTGAAACTAATTTTTGGCAATTTGGGAGTCCAAAATCTCAACAGATATATATGTCTTGTCACACACCACAGCTATCATGGCATCAACCATTCAAGCTTTTGGAAAGTGAATATTGCTATCTAGATGACAGCATCATATAGGCCTATTTCGTTTCCCTAGTAATGCCACCTTGTGACATATTAGTGGCACAATGCCTGTATCTACATAGTGAGCCCCTCTTACATGAAGGATAAGGCAATGTCTTCAGACAACATGAATCTTGTGGCAGAGCAGCTGGTGAGACTGAACTATCTAGCCATTTTATCATCAAGGTAAGCATTACTTTTTAAAAATCAAAGCTTAATAATTAATTAACACTTAATTCTATATGCAAAATTTACATATACTGTTTTATTAGTGCATATGTCACACTGTTTTCAAACCTTGCCATAACCCATTTAAAGGGTCTTGAACTTTGGAGAGACAAAATTACCTCTTCTGTGAGGTGAAGTGAGGAGAAAGAAAAAGTTTATATAAGAGCAACTTAACTTGAATGGAGAAAATACTGAGTTTTGCCATGTTAGAGGCTCATGAGCAAGCCAAGCATGTCAAATAGTTTTATTGAGAGACTAAATTTTAATACTAAAATATTATATGCCTTTAGCTTTGAAGGAGAAGTTGAAAAAGTTAGCCTAAATCAACAATGCTACTTTGTGCCAAGATGGTAATAATTTAAACTATTTTTGATAACAGTCTTCTGTTACAAGCTTAATTGATTCTGAATGCCTTTCAGCTTCAGTATTATCAAAAAGCCCAAGACTGGAACCTAGCTGACTGGACTATTCACAATGGATTGTCAAGATGCAGGATGCAGATGGCGCCTTCTGAGACATCGACAACGTGCATGTATGAGGTAATGCTGCTCTTTCTTAGACCTCTTCACATTTAATTACTTATTCTGTATTTGCCTTCTCAGTGTATCATAAACTTCATGAAGGCAAGGACCACATTGTCAGAAGTTTGCACAATGTATGGCATGCTATAGCCTTTCAATAAATGACTGAATGAATAATCTAACTTTAATTTGGGGGAATTGACCAAACTGACAAACTGCTATATAACACACTGAGTTATTCTATTAGTCAAACTTTAACTAGCTGTAAAAATTGAGATAGAAGTAGAAAAAATTCACAAATAACTTGCCATTTTATTCATTAGCTTCTAACTTCTCTTTCTCCAACAAACTGTTTTTCTTTTTCCTTTTTCAGATCATTTTGATCTGCCTTTTGAGGGATATTTACTCAACAACAAATGATCTTGTTGGTAGCAGATAGAAAGAGCCAAGAGTACCCAAATTAACAACTTACATAATTGTTCCTCAAAATGTTTATATGTGCAAGAAAATTACATTTGATATTGTTTGTGGCATAGAGGAGACCCTTGTTAAAGTAGACACTGAGTAGTTATTAAAATCCCAATATTATTTAATAACAACACGTAAAATAATTCCAGGTGCTATAGGAAAGTGTTTCTTAAACCAGGTTTGAGGAGTCTAGTTACTTCACTGGCTATTGAACTTTTTGAATAATTTCATTTTAATTTCCTATATACACTGCTGTGTATATGTTGGGGGGCGTTATTTTGTTGTGAAACTATTTTTGAAATATCTTTATCTCTAAAATAGAAAGCATGGAGGAATCAGGGAAGGAATGTCCAATGGTCTAATAGCTGAAAAAGCTGAAGTTAGTTGGGACTCAAATGACATTCAAATATTTTAAAATCATTTTGTTCACTATTGATGCTTGGTTCGAAGTGAGCTGTCAGGGGTTCTACAACTGTTCCAAGAGACAAATCATTAGGTATATTTATCAACAATTATGTCTACATTTTAGCCATTGAAATACAAAGAAAAAAATTATATCCAAGAAAAGGACATTTTTTTCCTGGAAACTTGACCGGAGTAAAAGGCTCAAGGCAATGCTGTGAAGTTTGGAGTAAAATCCTAGATGTGCCATCCCCTTCAAAGTCCACTCAGTAATTTTGCTTTGCTGCAAAATTACTTTTGGTTAGATATGCGAAGCCAATCATAAACTGCTAAAATTTTCTCCTGAGGTGGAACGGATAGATACAGGAGTTCTACTTACAAGGACCATGGTTGGCAAACCTTCTAAACATCTTTAAAGATAAATGCTTTATAAATATAATAGGAGGTTGAGAACAGGGGAATGATATTTGTTAATGCAGGTGCCAAGGAAAAACTTCCCCTTCATCCTCTGAAGTTTTGCTGGAAAACAATTCAAAATGGCAGGATAATTTGAACAGTATGGCACAAAGGAACAGTAGGAGAACGATTACCCAACAACCCAATGAGGTACAGATATCTGGTCAGTTTCGATGAATTTCTCTCGACTTTGATGGATTAAGGTGGTGGGCTACAGGTATCCGGTCACAAGTTTTGATGATGATCTCTCAACTTTGATGAACTAAGTCTGCAGGTGTCTGGTCACGAGTTTTGATGACCATCTCCCAACTTTAATGAGCTAAGGTGATGGGCTGCAGATTATCATCTGCAAACCACGAGTTTTGCCGACCATCTCTCAACTTCGTAAGATCACAATAACTTTCTAAATAATTAAAGTTATCGCCTAGCTTGTATTGGGCTTTTCCTAAGACATCATGTCTGTGAGGTAATTCCCTATTGTCTCTGCGATTCACTGCACTGGTAGTAGATCCACATTCCAGTCGTTAAAGTGGTCAGGTCTGGTGTGCCTGGTCCTTGTACGAAGATCGTGCACCGATAGGAAAGATGTCTGAATCTTTCCCCTATTTTTAAATCTACTTACAAGAGATTTATCTATGTCTAGCTTATGCTAAAACATCCTGCCTCACTAGTGTATTAACAGTGGAGCAGCCAGGACCAGAAATTCCTTCTGAGTTTGAGGAGTAAGAAATTGGAACAGAGAATCTGGAAGCAGAGTAACAGGTCAGGGAAGGCAGCACTTGAATGCACGTCAGAGCTGGAATCCGATAGTTCTCTGGATGGGGCCCGGGTGGCCCAGAGTCGCCCAGTCCTAGGAAAACACGTTTTCTTTTTCTTTCTTTCTTTCTTTTTTTTTTTTTTTGAGTTGGAGTCTCACTCTGTCGCCCAGACTGGAGTGCAGTGGCCGCTCCCGGCCACCGCAGCCTCGACCTGTTGGGCTCCGGCGATCCTTCCGCCTCAGCCTTCCAAGTAGCCGGAATTACAGGCATGCACTACCACGCCCGGCTGATTTTTTGATTTATTGTAGAGATGAGGTCTCGCTGCCCAGGCGGGTCTCGAACCCGCGGGCTCAGGCAATTTCGGCAGCTCCCGCCACCTACTCTGGGTTACTGCGGGATCCACAGCATGGAAACGGCCGGCCCACAGGGAGGCGCGCGCCCCCATGCAGGGCGCCCTCTCCTTTCTAGGGTCCCCGGGGGCGGGAGGAGCCGGGAAGCACCGGGCGCCGGTCTCCACTTCCTTCCAGGCCACCCAGGGGCGGGAGGAGTCGGGAAGCACTCGGAAGAACGGGACTAGGGTGGAGGGGGCGGCGTCGCGGCTCTTAAACGTGTGGGCGCGCTCTATCCTCCGCAGCCCCAGCGCTAGCGAACGCCGCCGGCGCTTCGAGCCCGGTCCCCGAGAAGCCATGGCGAAGTCCAAGGGCCGTCAGTACCTTTGGATGTGCTTGGCTGCGGCGCTGGCGTGTTTCCTGGCGGGGTTCATGATGGGTAAGTGCACGAAACGCCTCCCCCCACCCCTGGGCTCCTGGTCCCCACAGAGATCAGGGCAGAGCCTGTGTGCTTGCTGGGCCATCTGAGCTAGATGCGAAGTCTGCGAATTTCAGCAAAACTGGCAGCCAAACAGGAGGTGTTTTGGCCTTCCTGACAGACAGTGTGTGATAAACTCAAATTTAAGAAATCCTCAGAGTTCAGGATACAGATATGGGCTGTTGAAAATACAGCCTATAGCAACCACTGTCCGTAGGGATGAAAAATGGTTTTATCCTAGTGATATTGAGTCAAAACTTTAATATGGGCAGCGCTACACAAAACTGCTGTTCATTTAGATAAATACTTGTGCGGTGCTCCCTGTGAGGCAGGCACTGTGGTGAGAACCAGATACCCGAGGGAGGACAGGCAAGGCCATGCTTCGATGCGTAATGTGAAGGAGAATGAAAAAACATTCCTCAAATACAGCTCGTCCAGCTCAAAAGTACATTACACACCAGAATTTAAAGGTTTTCCACATTTAATATGAACGTATTTTTAAAGCTCACCATGATCTATTTGTTAGGTAAGGGTTTTTTTTTCTGGGTGGAGTGAGGAAGGAGAATTGCTAGTTTTAATAAAGTCAATAACTATTGTGTGTGTGTGTGTGTGTGTGTGTGTGTGTGTGTGTGTGTTTTTCCTCAGGCTGGTTTATTAAGCCTGTCAAAGAAACAGCCACTTCAGACCGCCATCATCAAAGCATACGGTGGAAACTGGTATCCGAAATGAATGCTGAAAACATTAAATCATTTCTCCGGTGAGTTTATTATGCATATTTGATCTTTAAAATGCTGTTTAAAATATTGCAGAGTGAGAAGTGAATAACTGATAATATGTATTTGGGTAATCTTTGGGTGAAATTCTAATTACTCATTCATTTATGGTAGTTTAAAATGTCTTTTTAAACTACTCTTAGGGTGAAATTCATTAGAATGTTACAGAGGCAGGGTTTTTTTTTTTTTTTTTCCTTTTTCTAACTTCATCTCCAAAAAAATATCTGGTTGGCTTATTAAGAGATGTTTCAACTTCATGTAACTTTGGACTGCATCTGAATGTTGTTCTTTGTTTCTCACTCAGCAATTTTATTTATGTTGTCAGAGCTAGTTGCTTGTTGACTCAGTGATTTAGTGGAACAGAGATCAAAGTTTCAGATTCTGTCTACTGAAAGTTGACCCTTTATCCCATCTTGCAAATATAACTTTGTTGTTTACAAATAGGACAAAATGAAAGCAAAAAGGATCAGTGCAAATCCTCCAGCTTCTAAAGGTTAAAAAAAAGTGACATTCAGAGGAGTGATTGTGAACTCCATAAAGGGCAGTAACCATGGCATTTATTTCTGTGTTCAGATACTTTCAAAGTGATGTCATCTAAAAAAATCAGATTTATTGAAATATTTACATAAAATAAACTGCATCCCTATAAAGCCTAGTTTGAGAGTTTTGGCAGATGTACACTGTCCTGAGCCAATCACCTCCTCATCAGAGGTGAACACATTCCATTAGCCCCTGCAGTTTATTTCTCCTTCACCCAGCACTGGTCAATCATGGATCAGTTTTATGTCACTATTGATTCACGTGCATTTTCTAAAATTTTATATAAATTGAACAATACAGCAGACACTCTTTTGTGCCTGACTTCTTTTACTCAGAATAATGATTTTGAGATTCATCCAGGTTGTTGTGTGTACCAGTAGGTCATTACATTTTATTGTGAGTGGCATTCCATTGTATGGATGTACTACAATGTGCAGTTGTTGATCGATATTTCTATTGTTTTCAGTTTTTGACTATTGTGAATAAAACTGCTATGAACATATTTTTACAAATCTTTCTGTGGGCATATGTGTGTATTTCTCTTTTAGTGACCGGGTTGGATGATAAGCATATGCTTAACTTTTTAAGAAAATACTGAAGAAAATTCAAAAGTGGTTGTACTGCCAATCACGGTGGTGCATGTCTGTATTCCTAGCACTTTGGGAGGTTGAGGCGAGAGGAATGCTTGAACCCAGGAGTTCTAGACTAGCCTGGGCAACACACTGAGACGTTGTCTCTAAAAAAAAAAAAAGAAATTAGCCAGGCACGGTGGCATATCCCTGTAGTTCCAGCTGCTTGAGAGGTTGAGGCGAAAGGATCACCTGAGCCTGGAAGGTTGAGGCTGCGGTTAGCCATGATCTTGCCACTGCACTCCCGCCCAAGTAACAGAGTGAGACTCCCAACTCAAAAAAAAAAATGGTTGTACCGTTTTGCGTTTCTGTCCATCATATGTGAGATCTTCATTTGCAGCCTCAACAGTACTTGTCAGTAGCACTATTTTTAGTTCTATCCATCCTTATAGGAGTATAGTGATATTTCATTGTGACTTTAATTTGCATTCCCAGAAACCTAATGATATTAAACATATTTTTCCCTGCTTATTCACCATTCTATACCCACTTCAGTGAAACACGAGTCCTTTCATTTGCAACAACATGGGGAGAACTAGAGGACATTAAGCAAAATAAGCCAGGAACAGAAAGACATGTGGGAGCTAAGAAATTGTTCTCATGAAGATGGAGAGTCGAATGATGGATACTAGAGGCTGGGAAGAATAGGGAGAGGTGGATAAAGATAGGCTGGCTCATGGTACAAAAATACAGTTAGGTAGAAGTAATAAGATCTATTGTTCAGTGACACGGGGCAATGACAGCTAACAATTTGTGGTATATTTCAAAATAACTAGAGGAATGGATGTAGAATCTTCTCAACCCAAAGAAATAATCAATGGCTGAGGGGATGGATGCTCCAATTTTTCTAATTTAATCATTACATATTGTGTGCTTGTATTATAATATCTCATGTACCCCATAGATATGTACAACTAGTAGATATCCATACAATTTTTAAAATTTATTTTAAAAAGTCTTGTTTATTTCTTTGGCCTATTTTCTATTTAGATGTGTGTTTTTGTTTTTGTTTTTGTTTTTCCCTAAGGAGTTCTGAGAGTTCTTCATATACTTGAACAACACGGGGGCTATAGGTGCCAACCCCCTTACCACCAGAAATCTACATATAACTTTTCACTCCCCCAGAACTTAACTCCTTATAGCCTACTGTTGACCAGAAGCCTTACCAATGTCAAACAATCGATTAACACATATTTTGTATGTCATATGTATTATATACTGTATTCTTACAATAAAGTGAACGAAAGGAAAGAACATGTTATTAAGAAAATCATAAGGGAGAGAAGATCTATCTACTGTTTATCAGGTGGAGGTGGATTGTCACGAAGGACTGCATCTGCTTCTGTTCATGTTGAGTAGGCTGAGGAAGCGGGGAGGAAGAGGGTTTGTCTTGTTGTCTGGGGTGGCAGAGGCAGAAAAAGTTTTTTAAAAAAGGTGGAAGGAGTGGACAGGAGAAGCAGGCACATGTGATGTAACTTTACAGAAATACATTGTCATTTCTGTCTGACATTTTGCTTTTTCATTTCTCTAAAAATGTTTCTATATAATATCAATCCTCCTTTCACCACTTGCTTTAGTTCTAGTGCCTGTATAATAGAGGGGACCATGTTGTAAAAGAAATTGAAAGCTCGAAGGGCATTCTTCAAATTTAAGATAAAGAAGTCAAAAGTAGGCTTGAATAACTAGATTGTGCCAGAGTGTCTAATGTTAATTTGTTTTCTGCACTGCTGTTTCAGTGCCATCTTCCTCTTTAGCACTGGTTTAGAAGCACTCATCTCCATCAAGTCATCTTCTGTTCACTTCTGTTAACTTCTGTTAACTCTGGTGTGGTGTCTCTTAGCTCTAGAATTTCTCCAATATCTGTCTTGAAAACTTCACTACCCACCTTTTTTTTTTTTTTCACAATCTCTTTCATTATTTCCTTGATTGGTTCTGTCATAAACTGTGAAGTTTTGCACAACACCTGGACACCATTTTCTCTAGCAGGAATTTATTGTGCGAGCTTGATGGTTTTCTTGCTTTTTCTGTAATATCAATGGCATCTTCAATGTTGTTATCCTAAACGTTCATGATGGGGTTCTCTTTCATAGTGTTGACAGTTTTTTCCATAGAGTGCTGTGTAATGAGCTTTTTTTTCTTGAGAGGCCTTTTTCATAAGATCATGTAATGAGCCTTAAAGATTTTTATGACCTCCTGATCTAGAGGCCAAATTAGAGAAGATATATCTGGGGCAAGTAGACCATTTTGATGCCTTCTGTGTTGAACTTATGGGTTCTGGGACAAAACTTTGATTAAACCAATTAAAAGGTATTCTTGTTGCCTACCTTCTTGTGCGACCAGTAACGGACAGCTGGTGGTGTTGTTTCCCCATCAAGGCTGGGGTTCAGCAGCTCTATACAGGTGGACAGTCCTGATCATAAACCCAACTGCATTTGCACAAAACACCTGGTGTTCATTTCTCATTCTTGCTCAAAAATATCCTTTGTGGCATTTTTTAATTAAAATGAGTGCATTTTATTTTAAGTCACTAATTAATGAGGGAACCTGTACTATTTTTTGTTGTTGTTATTGTTGTTTTGATTTTTTTTTGAGTTGGAGTCTCACTCTGTCGCCCAGACTGGAGTGCAGTGGCTGCTCCCGGCCACCACAGCCTCGACCTGCTGGGCTCCGGCGATCCTTCCACCTCAGCCTTCCTAGTAGCCGGAATTACAGGCATGCGCTACCATACCCGGCTGATTTTTTGATTTATTGTAGAGATGAGGTCTCGCTGCCCAGGCGGGTCTTGAACCCGTGTGATAATTATTATTCTGTAAGTCTGACCTTTATCAACATACATCCCTAGACTTCCATCAGTCAACTGGAAAAAAAATAGAAGGCTGGGCTCAGTGGCTCAGTCTGTAATCCCAGCACTTTGGAAGGCTGAGGTGAGTGAATTGCCTGTGCCCGCAGGTTCAAGACCCGCCTGGGCAACTTGGCAAGACCTCATCTCTACAATAAATCA